GCGCCTGAGCACGTGTGTGTGTCGGGGGGGAGGGAGGGTCCGCATGGGTGGACGTGTCGGCACCTGTCAGAGTACGTGCGTGATCGGTGTCCACGCGAGCATGTGTGCACTCGTGGCGATGCTGGTATAGGCGTGTGAATGCGTGTGTGTTCGCTCATGCTGACTTGCTTCCGTTTCTGTTCACACCACTGTATGCGTGTTTCGTGTGTCTCATGTGGTTGCAAGTGTGCTTGTGTGCTCGGTTCGTGTATGCTGGCGTGTGCTGGGTGTGAGCGTCCGAGTGTGTTGTGTGACCTGTGTGTGTGGGAATTAGGAGTGTGCTCACGGTGTCTCCGTGTTGGCGTGCACACGCCCGGGTCTGGGTGTGACTGTGTGTTTCTGGGCGACGTGTGTGCCTGTGCGTGTGACGGTTCCCACTGCCTGCAGCCAGCCCGGCGTAGCAAAGGACGTGTTGAGGCTTGAACGTGGCTCGGGCCGGACCCCTCCCCACACGCACCGGTGGACGCCCGAGGTGCCGCCAGGCGCTCCAGCGCCATTTTGCTTTGAGAGAATCTGGTCTAAATGAGTCATTCTCATCCCACTCGGGAGAACTTTCCCCTCACCCTCCTTCTGAGTGTTAGTGTTACCCGCCTCCGCTGGTGTGGCAGCTTCAGGTGTGCGGTGGAGGGAGGCCACACTCCGGCCCCTTCCAAGGGCTCAGCAGGCTCAGTGCGCTCTGGATCCCCCACCCAGGGTCCCCCCCAACCCCCGCCCCGTCCCCTCCCCTATGGCAACGGCCAGTGTGTTCTCCGTAGTGAAGAGCCTGATTTCTTGTGTCTCTTCCTTTGTTTGCTTATTTGTTTTGCATGTTAACTTCCACATCTAAGTGAAGTCATATGGTATTTGTTGCTCTGACTCACTGTTGTTTAGCAAACTGCATTCTAGCTCCACCCACATCAACGCAGATGGCAAGATGGCCTTTCTTATGACTCATGGTCCATCACACGTGTAAATCTCTATGTCTATGGACTTGCAGACAATTGTAAACAATGCTGCAAGAACATAGGCTGCATATATCTTTACGGTAATGAACTGTGTTTTCATTTGTTTGGGTAAATATCCAGGGGTGGAAGTATTGCATCAGAGGACTTGTAGCTGTCAGTGTTTGGGAGCCTCCGTGCTGTTCTCGGAATGGCTGCACCAGTTTGCCTTCCCACCAATGGGCCACAAGGCCTCCCTTGTCTCCATCCCTCGCCAGCACCTCTTGCTTCTTGTGTGTTGGTTTTAGCCGTCCTGACAGGTGGGAGGTGAGGTGTCGTCGTGGTTTGCATTTGCGTTTCCCTGAGGACGGTGACGTGAGCGTCCTCTCGCCTGTCTGCTGGCCTTCGGCATGTCGTCCTTGGAAAAGTGTCTGCGTGAGTCCTCCGCCTTCTCCCACCGGGTGGCCGGTTGCCTCTCTGCGTGGTCACAGAACGTCCTTAAAGGTTTTGTATATTAACCTCATCAGGCACGTCATTTACACGTATCTTCCCGCGTTCAGCAGGTTGCCCTTTGCCTGTGGTTGGCTCCCTGCGCTGCAGCTCTTTTGTTCGGTGAAGTCCAGACAGTTTTATTGCTGTTGTTCCCCTTGCCTCTGAGACGGCAGATCTGGAAGGTTTCTACAGCGGACGTCAGAGACATCGTGACTCTGTTCTCGTCTAGGAGTTTATGATTCAGGCCCACGTGTAGGACTTTAATCTGTTTTGAATTTATTTTTGTGTACGGTGTGAGAAAGTCGTCCGGTCTCCTTCTTCCTCACAGTGCCGCCCAGTCTCCCGGCAGCATTTATTAAAGAGGCCGAGGTTCCCCATTGCTTACGCTCACCTCCTTTGTCCTAGATCAACTGACCTGCTAATCACAGGTTTGGCTCTGGGCTTCCTGTCCTGTCCCATGGATCTAGGTGTCTGCTTCTGTGCCGACACCATACTGTCCTGATCACGACCGCTTTGGAGTAGAGCTTGACCTCTGGGACTGTGTTACCTTCAGCTTTGTTCTCCTTTTCCAAGATGGCTTCGGCTGTTCGAGCTGTTTTGCGGTTCCATACGTGTTGCCATTATTTATTCTAATTCTGCGAAACATGCTGTTGGTACCTTGGTAAGGATTGAGCTAAATCTGTAGACTGCCCTGGGGAGCACGGCCCCTTGAACATATCGGATCTTCCAATCCATAGGCGTGGGATATATTTCCATCTCTCCATATATTTCTCTCTGCAGCTTCATTCATTAGGGGTTTACAGTATTCAGGTGCAAGGTTCCCAGCCTCTTGGTTAACTTGACTCCTAGGGATTTTATTGCACTTGGTGCCATGATAAATGGGATAGTTTTCTTCATTTCTTTTTCTGATACTTCATTCTTAGCATACAGAAACACAACAGGTTTGTGTACACAATTTTATAACCTGTGACCTCAGTGGATTCATGTACCAGGTCTAGGTTTTTGGGTACCTTAGGGTGGAGCCTTCAGGGATTTGGATATAGTGCATCATGGTCATTGCAAATAGTGAATGTTTTATACTGCTTCCTGTCCCATTTAAGTCCTTCCCGCAGCAATCAGACAAGAAAAAAGAAGTTAAAGGCATGCAAATTGGTCAGGAGGAGGCAAAACTCTGGGCTCTGCGTTGAGAACATGACAGGAGAGGAGATTTTGCTCCTGCCACAGAGGGGCAGGGGACACCCAGGGACAGGGTGGTGTGACTGGCCCAGAAGCAGCATTCTCAGCAGCAGGGAAGGGTGGGAGGTGACAGTTGCCAGGGGCTCCTCTCTCTGGGGCATGGAGTGGGCAGGCTGGCCAGTCTCTCGCCTGCCCTCTGGGAGAGGGAGAGCCCGGACAGGTGCAGAAGTGCCGGTAAGGGGCCTGCGGGCCTGAGGGACAAAGTCCATGAGCCCAGGCGGCAGGCCCAGGCAGAAGTTCGGGGCTCTGCCCCACCTTAGCCGGGGGCGCCCTGGGCCCAGCACACAAGGCCTCCCCAAGAGAAAGGGCTGGTGCTCGCGTCCACCGGCAGGCCACCTGCCCCCTAGGCCCAGCAGGCAGCTCCCTGCCTCGCCCCTTCCCGTGGGGACAGGGCACATGGGGTCCAGGGCTGGCCCCAGGCTGCTGACTCGGGTTTCCCCGAAGCTCCTCACTCTGCTCTACAGAAACGGGCCCGAATGGCGCACAAACCGACTGAAGCTGAACCCAGAGCTGCTGTCGCCTCAGGCTGTTCACAAGTACCTCCCCATGGTGGACGGGGTGGCAAGAGATTTCTCAGATATGCTCAAGTCGAGAGTGCTGCAGAATGCCCGGGGAAGTCTGACCGTGGACATCAAGCCCAGCATCTTATACTACACCATAGAAGGTCTGTGGGGTCACGGTGGGGTGGGGGGGCTGCCTCCGGGGACCTGGGGCAGGCCACCAACGGGGTGAGAGGCCCCCGGAGTCTGTCAGCCACCCTGGACTCAGCGACCATTTCCTCTCCACAGCCAGCAATTTAGCCCTTTTTGGAGAGAGGCTGGGCCTCCTTGGACATAGCCCGAGTGCTGCCAGCCTGAACTTTATCCGGGCTCTGGAGACCATGTTAAAGTCCACCACAGAGCTCATGTTCATGCCCAGGGCCCTGTCACGCTGGACAAACACCAAGGCGTGGAAGGAGCACTTTGAGTCCTGGGACTGCATCTTCCAGTATGGTGAGGGCCGGAGACCCGGCAAGTGCTGGGTGCCAGGGACACCAGGGTCCCCAGTCTCCTCTCACCACATCCGGGGGAAGGCTGAGGTCACATGGGGAGGGCTTTGTGGCCCTGAGAGGCTTGGCGGCAGGGCCGGGCATTGCTGGGCTGGTCTTGGCGTTTGGCCCAGGGGCAGGTGGGCTGAGGGCATGGGCATGAGGTCAAGTGCTGCCCGGCACCAGGCCCGGCCCTGCCTCTCTGTGCCCCACAGCCAACAATGCCATGCAGAAGCTCTACCAGGAGCTGGCCCTCGGCCGCCCACGGCACTACAGCGGCATCATGGGGGAGCTGCTGATGCACGCGGACATGTCCCTGGAGGCCATCAGGGCCAACTCCATCGAGCTCACCGCCGGCAGCGTGGACACGGTCAGGCCAGCAAGCAGCCCTGCCCTAGGACACGGTGCCTCGTGACCACAGGCTGCACCCCCCCCCTGCCCCCTCCAAGTCCCTTTCTGAGCCGACTGAAGGCTCTGACTTGGGGTGGGGGGCACGGAAGGGGTGGGATGCCACGCTCCCTGCCCGGTGCAGAGTGGATGAGCCCGGAGACATGAGCAGCACAGACACCACTCAGACGCCTGGGTGCCGGGAAGGGGGCACGGGCCGCGATGCGGCTGGAGGGCTGCCTGTACAAGGGACCCTTCCCAGGGACAGAGTACTTTTGGCTCTTGTCAGAGATGCTTTGGAGATGACAGGCTGGTGACTGAAGGGCCGCCCAGGGCTCCAGCTTGCGGGAGAGAGAGCAGATGGCACGCAGCATGGGGGGTGCAGACGGGCCCCAGGGTCATGTAGCAGCATCTCCGATGTCCTGCTCCGGGCCGGGCACCCAGGCCTCTGAGAAGAGGCACAGGCGTGCGGGGGGGAACTCCCTGAGCGGAGGCAGACGGGCAGCCAGAGTGAGGGGCTGGGTGGCCGTTCGTGTTCAGACTCTAGGTCTGAGCTAACCTCCCTGTGGGTGCCCAGGGGAGAGTCCTCACTAGCTGCTAATGGTGTGGGGCTGTAGAACACCCCCTCACGACACACATGCACGCACACACACACACACACACACACACACACACACACACACCCCTGAGAAGAAGGACCCCTAATGAGGGTGAGATCCAGGCCTTGTAGTGGCCAGAGGAGGCCTGGATCTTTCCTGAGCCTGGGGACTCCTTCCCTGCGGGATCCAAGGGAAGTACGTGAGGCACGTGTTAGACCCTGAGGTCTCAGATCCCTGGGAGGAGTCCTTCTCCGGGCATTCACGTCACCGTGCATCCGAGACAACCCGCCCCCAGGGGAAGACCATCTTCCTGGGGGAGAGGTCCAGGGAGCTGAGGTGCATGGCCCTCGCCAAGGTCTGAGCCTGCACCCGTGGCGTCTGCAGACGGCCTACCCCCTGTTGATGACGCTCTTCGAGCTGGCTCGGAACCCTGAAGTGCAGCAGGCCCTACGTCAGGAGAGCCTGGAGGCCGAGGCCAGGATCTGGGAGAATCCCCAGAGCGCAACCTCGGAACTACCCTTGCTGCGGGCAGCCATCAAGGAGACCTTACGGTAGGTGTGGCAGACCCTGGGCGCAGCATCCTGGCCCCCTGTCTGGAGAGCAGTGCTCAGGGGGGCTTGTAGCCAGATCCTGGGGCTGTGAAGCAGCTTTGCCCGAGATGCAAGCCCTGCGCCTCCTCTCGCTCTCCCTAAGGGCATAGGAGCTCTTCTCCCTCTGGGATCCCACTTCAGTGCCCCAGGCGCCATCCTCGGCCACATCCTCCTTGGCCAGGGGCTGTTCAGGCTTCGGAATGTTGTGTAAGCTCAGGGGGTGCAAGGAAGCAGTTGCTCGAGATCTTGGCTTCCCAGTGCCAGACGTGACCCAGGAGGGTGGCTGGCAGCTCCCCTGGGCCAGTGCCTCCTGTGATAGGAAGGTCACAGAAGGGAAGCGAGGGTCCCAGTGACAGCTGAGGACTCTGTTGGATGCCCTTATCCACAGGCTGTACCCTGTGGGGATCTCGGTGGACCGAAATGTGTCTTCGGACGTGGTGCTGCAGAACTACCACATCCCGGCAGGGGTGAGTGAGGCCACACCGCCCCTCCAGCAGGCACCAAGCCCATGTGAGCTTCATACTCCTGGGGCCACTGACCCTGCCCCTCCCCACCTCTCCGCAGACTTTGGTCAAGGTGCTACTCTACTCCTTGGGTCGAAACCCCTCTGTGTTTGAGAGGCCCGAGCGCTATCATCCCCAGCGCTGGCTGGACAACAAGGGCTCTGGCACCAGACACCCACACCTGGCCTTCGGCTTTGGTCTGCGCCAGTGCCTGGGGCGGCGCCTGGCAGAGGCAGAGATGCTGCTGCTGCTGCACCACGTGAGCAGGCCTAGGCAGCCTGGGCTGGAATGGGATGTGACTGGGCAGGGCGTGGCCCCGGGGGGGTGGGGGGTGGGAACGGGGGGCCCCGGGGCGTGTCTGGTTGCCTGCTTGGGGACCACTGGCTTCCCCCTCTCTTACGCTGCCCTCAACCCACATAGTAGGGTCCAGGAAGGCGGGAGATGGTGGGCCAGGACATCTGGGTTGACCATTTGGCCAAGTGGACCCCTTGCCTCTGTCCTAGGTGCTGAAAAGCTTCCTGGTGGAGACGCTGAGGCAGGAGGATGTAAAGATGATCTACCAGTTCATACTTTCCCCCTCCACCCTCCCCCTCCTTACCTTCCGGGCCATCAGCTAATCACGCCACCGTGATGTCGGGCCAGTACTGCTGCCACCCCCTTCCGCCTGACCTCCAGCCCCCCTCGTTTTCTCCCACGAAACCTGCTTCCAGAGCCACAGCACTGTCCAGCCAGGGCCTTTCCCCAAGGATCAGGGGGGTGAATCTGGACCGCAGGTCCGGCCTGTGAGCCCAGTCCCACCAGCTCCTTCTCCAGCAAGGAGCACCATGGGAGGGCCTTTCCCCGTGTCGCCACCAGCACTACCTCCAGGGGCCTCAGGTCCTCCCCTCCAGATCCACCCCCACCTGCCTGTCCCATCTCATATCCCCTCTGCACTCAACTCCGTGTCATGCACCACAGACAAGTTGTCTTCTCTGTCCTTCTCACTGCCATTTCCAAGGCCATACCTGTTGTCTGCATTGGT